CGGATCTGCGTTTCACAGCGTGACCCGGCACTGAACAACCGGCGGTTTTAAATCACCTTAAAAACACCGATTAACGTTAAAACCACCCGAAAACTCCCCCTGCTGAAGCGCAGCAACCCCACGGCACCACCCAGCCGTGCGCAACGCTGACACTGAATATTGTTCAGTGCCACGCCTTGTTACGGCCGTTCCCGCGCCCGGTAACGCTTTCGGGGAATAAATTCTCCCCAACATCCAACCTGCACCTGCCCCAGCGCCATCTGAGGCCGCTTCCTCTCGTCCTGTCGCTGGTTTCTCGGGAGAGGAGACCGACACCGACCGCGCAGGGCAGAAGGTGGTGAGGGGACTGGAGCATGTCTCCTGCGAGGAGAGGCTGAGGGAGCTGGGCTTGTTCAGCCTGGAGAAGAGAAGGCTGAGAGGGGACCTTACAAATGCTTATAAATATCCCAAGGGTGAGTGTCAGGAGGATGGGGCCAAGCTCTTTTCAGTGGTGCCCAGCAACAGGACAAGGGGCAAAGGGCACAAACTGAAGCAGAGGAAGATCCAGCTGAACATGAGGAAGAACTTCTTCCCTCTGAGGGTGACGGAGCCCTGGAACAGGCTGCCCAGGGAGGTTGTGGAGTCTCCCTCTTTGGAGATATTCAAGACCAACCCACGGGCCCACCCGGGGCGGGAGCCCTTCTCTCCGCATCTGTAACCCGGGCCCCAGGCTGGCGGCAGAATTCCCCAAAAAGTGGGTCCGGTCTCCCCTGGCAACCACCCGTCTGTTTTGTCTTTAGGGAAGCGGTCTGGACGCAGGATGGGGGCTTAACCTCGGCGACACCTCCAAGCCGGACGAACCACCGCCCTCGTTAGCGTCGGGTTCCACTCGCAGCCTCCTACCCCTTACGGCAGGGCGGTGGGGAAGGCGGGGCAGTCACAGCACAGACTGAGATTGAACAGGCATGAGATTATTTTTTAAACATAATATAACCTTCAGATTGCTGCAGGCTTGGTGTTCAACATGGCATGTGGCAGCCAGGGGAATGGGATTGTTCTCTTACTGCAGAACAAGGTTAGTTGTTGTCCTTTTTTCAAGAGGCATTTTTCTTGCTTCTCCAACCAGCAAACATACCAACCGTTGTCACATTAAGGTTAAAACAATCAGCAAAGATAGAATATTCTTAATTTAATAAAATTTATTGAAACACTGCAACAGGTTGCCCGGAGAAGCTGTGGCTGGACCCCCCCCGGCAGTGTTCAGGTCCAGGTTGGATGGAACTCTGAGCAACCTGGTCTGGTGGAAGATGTCCCCGCTCATGGGGCTGGAACCAGATGATCTTTAAGGTCGCTTCCAACCCAAACCATTCTATGATTCTATGATTAGTAAGACATAAAGCAAAGGAAATAACACCATTTTCAAAGAAAACTTTTTTTTTTCTTCTCAAATTCCGTTTCCAAGGCATGCAGTTGCCCCGGGAGGGTTTCATTACATACTGTATTTCTGCTCGTTCAGATGCAGTCTGCGTACTCCGATTCAGCTCCGCAGGAAATTGTCTGCTCTCAGTATACCACAACAATCCCTGTCACGATGCCGCAGCTGAAACCTGAAAAATTACAGAAAAGCTCCTCTCCTCCTGCTTCAGCTCACAGGAGCAAGGAGCGAGAGGAGAAAGCCCACAGTCAGCATAGTCATCCTTTTTTTTAAGAAAAAAAAAAAATGAAAAAGCCCCAGCCAATTTCACTAAACCCATTTCCTCCCAGCACACTTAGGTAACACTCACTCATTCTACACTTTCCAGTCAAATTTTCTGCTGTCAGAAAGTAAGTTGTCAAGAATAACAGGCTTTTGTAAGAGCCGTTGCCACCTATGGCCACAGAAGCTCTCCTTTGCCATAGAAGCTGGCACAATTTTGCATTAATTCTAATAATACAGTTTCTTCTAACCACGTCTCACC